TTTGACCCAGCGGTTGGGTTACTACCCAGAAGGTTGGGTTAAACATTTAACCCAATTGCTGGGTCAAAACAACCCAATTGCTGGGTTTGTCCCTATTTTACCCAGCACTGGGTTGTATTTAACCCAGCATTTTTTAGAGTGTAGAGATGTCATACGATTTCAAAACTGAGAGTGATCAAATTCATAAATGTGGGAGTAGTTACAGCACATTCTATAAATACGGTAAACTTTGAATGCTTACGTCCTTTTTTGTGTGTCTTATATGACACAAAACTGACGTATCATGAAAAGTTGCTTGTTTGCATTTGATGTCCCCTTAAAAAAATTGTCTTTTCAGACTTCGACCCTGTTACTAAAGTAAGAAAAAAACAATTCTTTAATACATGAGAAAATTTATTAATAACTTACAGAACAACATTTGGTTTTCAGCCCTTATTTTGTACCCTATTTGCTGAAATTTCATTGTTTTGTATTATGTTTTGAAGCATTTTTTCTTTTCCCCCTCCCTTGTAGTATGCTATGTTCCTGACGCTTGTGTTCTTAGCTGAACTAGTGGCAGGTATATCCGGCTTTATTTTCAGACATGAGGTAATTCTTTTTTTTTTATCTTTACATACAGTATTTCATATACTATCTGCTGTGTAAGCCAAATAATGTTTTCACTTTGTTTTTTTTGTTGTTTTTTTTTAGATTAAAGCAGTGCTTCAAGGTGCCTATAATAAAGCTGAATCAGTCTACAGTGGTAAGAACAATGACCTGCTGAATTCAGACAAGAGCACCAATGCACCATATGTCCTCATTGGGACTGGAGCCAGCATCATCATCTTCGGGTTGTTCGGTTGCTTCGCGACCTGCCGTGGAAGTCCATGGATGCTGAAGCTTTTAGAGTGTAGAGATGTCATACGATTTCAAAACTGAGAGTGATCAAATTCATAAATGTGGGAGTAGTTACAGCACATTCTATAAATACGGTAAACTTTGAATGCTTACGTCCTTTTTTGTGTGTCTTATATGACACAAAATTGACGTATCATGAAAAGTTGCTTGTTTGCATTTGATGTCCCCTTAAAAAAATGGTCTTTTCAGACTTCGACCCTGTTACTAAAGTAAGAAAAAAACAATTCTTTAATACATGAGAAAGTTTATTAATAACTTACAGAACAACATTTGGTTTTCAGGCCTTATTTTGTACCCTATTTGCTGAAATTTCATTGTTTTGTATTATGTTTTGGAGCATTTTTTCTTTTCCCCCTCCCTTGTAGTATGCTATGTTCCTGACGCTTGTGTTCTTAGCTGAACTAGTGGCAGGTATATCCGGCTTTATTTTCAGACATGAGGTAATTCTTTTTTTTTTTTATCTTTACATACAGTATTTCATATACTATCTGCTGTGTAAGCCAAATAATGTTTTCACTTTGTTTGTTTTTTTGTTTTTTTAAGATTAAAGCAGTGCTTCAAGGTGCCTATAATAAAGCTGAATCAGTCTACAGTGGTAAGAACAATGAAGATCTGGACAGAATCCAGAGAACAGTAAGCATGTATTTGTTTTATTGGGAGCTGTACAAAACATCAGGATTACATCAAACATCACTTATCTGCTTAAATGTTATTCTGAGGAATGTAATTTATTTTGTCATTTTTAGCTGCAATGCTGTGGAGAGAAGAACTACACCAGCTGGGCAAACACGGATTACTTCAAAACCGAGGGCATCCCCAAAAGCTGCTGTAACAAGACTGCTGGTGGAAACTGCCCGTCTGCAGAACTTAAAGATCTTAACAAGGCTGCATTAGTGGTATATCAACGGGTAAGAACTTTGCTGCTTCTGAACACTCCTAAATCAGCAAATATCATTAGACTTATTTCGTAATTCTGGAAGGGAAAAAAATCCTTCTCTTGTAGGGCTGTTTCTCCCTGATGACTGCAACATTGGAGGCCAATCTTGGAATTATTGCTGGAATTTCTTTTGGAATTGCATTCTTCCAGGTACTCATCATGTCCATATAGTATTTTGAAATGAATCTAGTCTGTAATGCATGTAATAATATCTATTTTTCCATTCAATTCCTCATCAGCTCATTGGAATATTCCTGGCATGTTGTCTGTCTCGCTATATCACCAACAACCAATATGAGCTGGTGTAGTGATCCACAGGTATATTTTCTTACTCTTCCCGTTTGGCTGTTCTCTTTAAAATGGCACAATTTTGTGTTGTTTTATTACGTGTCATTTCATGAGTATGTTGATTGATAAAAAATGACTAGGTTTTCATTTAAGGGTTCTTCTGTCTGATTACAGGGTATCAAACTGGAGATCACAGAGGGCTGAACCTGACAAAAGGGAAAACATTTAGTTTCAGTGTTTTGTATGTGTGCCTTAGCTAAACATTTCATTTTAGAGAACTTCTGACTGCTTTTTAAAGAATATTTCTTGTTGGTAACTACATTGAAGGGAAGGAACCCATTCCAAAAGGATACGTTCATTTTGCATTTGTTTTGCCAGAGTGTATATATAACAGTGATTACAGAAGTTTGTAGAAAGTGCATGTGTTTTAGCCGGTTACACCAGGAACATTCAGTCAGTTATGCAGTAAACAGTGTACTGCACACCTTGACATTTGTTTAATTGGAATTAACACGTGCTAAAACTTTGCATCTAGTAAAAACAGTAGTAACATTTCTTGCATGCACCTAAAGTTCAACATTTTCTCAACATTTGCCAAAAAGAATGTTTTTGAGAATGACTTGACAATAATTTGAGACATTTAAGATGTTATCCACTCAACATGTTACATAGGGATTTCTGTTTGTCACCAGCAGTTCATTTTCAATAACTATTTTAAAACATGTATTTTCATTTCCACTTGGATTGCTGCAGCTGTAGTGTTAGTTGTAAGGTTGTTGAATGTCATGGCGGTGATGTGCTGAAGAGAACATTTGTAGTGTTTCTTTAACTTTGTCTACAACATGTGAAATTTGTTGTGGTCCAGGTTAATCAGGTAGCAATATTTAACATGTACATACAAAGCTAGAAATATCAGCGTTATCTATACAGGGGTAGAGCAGTATTTAATGACATCCTTGCATTTGTAAGTAAAATAAGGTGATGTATAATCCAGATTACTTTTAAAACTGTTAATTCTTTTCTCGCGTCACTCCAGCTTAATTTTTGTCGAAAGATAAACAACCCTCTGAGTTTTGTCAGCATATGGGTTTACTTTTTGGGGCATGCACACATTTATATCTTTGTAAGACAGCAAACTGTCAACAGCCTGTTCTTTTTGTGTAAACTGTAAAATGCATAGGAACAATAAACTCTTTTATATGAGCATAGGCTTCAGACGTAGAACCACCAGATGGCGCTATCTACTTACGTATACAACTACTCGATGTGCAATCTGGGTAAATCCAATGAAGAGCGTGGATTCTAAAGGAGGTCCACAAGGGCGAAGTGTGCCATTTGGGACAGTCGTTTAATATAAAGAAATGTAGGCAACGTTACTATCTTTAATAATTAAAAATCTGAATTACTGTCCTAAAATGTTTTAAATCAAGTGGGCTGCAGATCGCATAATTGACATATACGACACTGAATGACCATAGAGGGAAAATAGTAGTTTGTTGGTTATATCACTATTTCTTCAATCACTACCAGCAAGAGCTCATATTTAAGTAAAATGCGTTAAGAGTGAAGAAAATGTCACAATTTGCCCACCCACATGTGAAGAGATATTTTGAAAAAGATACCGACATACATGAATGCAGATGAAATACTGAAGCTCGATTGGTCCGAAGGCCTGTCAATCACTTGCAGCTCGGTACACCATTGGACATGATGCTTCCCCGCCTGACGTCAATAGTATAAGTTTGTCGGTCATCGCCTGATCCCACAGAAGAAAGCAATATTTTGAAAAAGATACCGACATACATGAATGCAGATGAAATACTGAAGCTCGATTGGTCCGAAGGCCTGTCAATCACTTGCAGCTCGGTACACCATTGGACATGACGCTTCCCCGCCTGACGTCAATAGTATAAAGTTTGTCGGTCATCGCCTGATCCCACAGAAGAAAGCCACTTTCTTCTCGATTGGAGCGATATAAAATCTTGGCTGCTTCATTAATCGTTTATAGTTTCTCTTTGGGTTATTTCAGTCCAGTAAACGGTTACATCCAGGTTAGTAATTTGCTTCTAAATCCTTTTTGAGATTTATTGCGTTATCATTGCAGTGAGGCCTGTCATGTGTAAACGGGCCACGATTGGGTCTTTACCGTTACGTTCTGCAGTAGTTTAATATCTGAGAGTCATGTGTTTCCGATGCGTTTAGTCTTATACATCGTTTAATATTGTTTGGTTATTGATGATGCTTTAAAGAGACAATGCAATGTGTCTATCTATAAATTAGCGAGGCGAGAAACCAAAAACGGTCTCATTTTTAACGATAATAAAAATAATGTTCGAGTAAATCGTTCTTTTTAGTTGATTCAGTTGAACCGCTTAAAAACCGGACCGAACGGGTCGCACTGAATCGGAGTGGTTCTAGGGTGAACTCGTTGAACCGAGAAATCGCGGCGTTGGCTTGATTACATGGCGGTTTATTAAAACGTGTGACTTGATTATTTATTGTCTAAAAGAAATGCAAATTCAATTTATGTTCGAGGTGAATCATGGCTGCAGCAACTGAATTAGGACTTGTGAAACTGCAATAAAAACCCTTAAACTACATATGGCTTTATTTTAAATCGCTCACTCGGTTTGTTGCGTTCGTTTTTTTATAAAGGTTCTAGTTGCTCCTATTGCAAGAGATTAAGTCTAAAACCTTTTTGCTTCACTATTGATTAGTCACTTAGATTGTACCCTTTAATTTCAGTTTAGCCATGATGCAGCTCAGCAACGACACACAATGCAACAAGCACTCGCTGCTCAACGTCATGAACCGGTTCATTGCTGCTGCCAACAACATGGACGAGACCATCATGGTGCCAAGCTTACTGCGGGACGTGCCTCTGGAGGACCAAGACAGCCAAGCCTCTGTTAGTCACAATAACAACGAGCCCTCTTTCCCCAGCAAACAGAGGGACATGTATGAGCACTACCTGCTGTTAAAGTCCATCAAAAACGACATGGAGTGGGGCCTGCTGAAGAGGGAGATGGGCGGCAGCTTTCTAGAGATGGCAGTGAAGCACGAAGAGCTGCAGGTGAATGGCGGAGCTGCAGAGGAGGGTGCCGACCTGGAGTGCCAGTTCCACTACCACCTCCATGGACTGTTTGCTGTTCTGTCCAAGCTGACGGTCCAGGCTGACGACCTCACGAATCGTTACAAGAGAGAAATCGGTGGAGGTAGCCTGTTGCGATAGGGTTGATTCATTTAGAATTAAAATGGACTCCTCTTGAACCGTTGGACTGGGAAGTGAATGGGTGGCAGTGGTCCTAAAGGGCTTTAGATTCCCCTCTGCCATCAAAAAAGGGTTTCTTACCTGAATCTGTTGTCCTGTGGCCTGTCCTGGTGGTATCTGGTACTTTCAGGAAGTTTCCTTTAGACGTTAAAGGGCTATGAGAGTAATGAGGGTTTTATACTGACCATTTCAACAGCATGCATCTACCCCAGTTAGGCTTTAGTTTTGGGTTTTGTTTCAAGTCTCTATGCCAGGTTAGAAAGCCCTTGACATTGTCACTTAAAGCTGTAGAAGAATGTGAATGCTGGTAATTCAGTTCTTTCTATTAGCCAGCCAATGCCTTTTAATGAGGGGATTTTTTTTTATGTATTAATGCTGCTCTTGTGCACTTGTCCATGTGAAATGGCGTGCCTTCTGTTTTCATTTCCCACTTGTGCTGTTCTCAAGTATGTGTTTGTCATGCGTCGTATTAGTTTGAACAGGGCCCATATGAGTCCGTATGCCACTTGTATTTTGTTTTTCTGGTTTGTCCTAAAAGATTTCAAGTTTTATATCATGCTGTAATAATATAGTGACTTATTAAATAAAGCTTTAACTTAAACTGTCTGTCTGCATTGTCTTCCTAAGTATTGCCTTGCATTTCCTCTCCTCTCAAGTGCCGTAAGATGCCAACGTTTACCGGAGGGCTGGGTCAGATATCTAATCCTGAATGGAGCTAGGAGTATCTGCTAATCTAGTTTCGTAAAGGCTGCGTCTCTTGCACTGTATGTGAGGAATGTGTCTTAAGGCAGGTTTGAGCTTGACTATTCATTAGGTGTTCTCCTGTTTGCAATGATTTAAAGGGATAGTCCAAGTTCAACTGAAAATCATACTTGTCATTCCAAATCTCTATGACTTCTGCAGCACACCATGACATTTTTCGAGTATGTTGGTAGGCAACTCATATGAATTTTCTTTGCTCTCTTTAACCTGTTCTCAGTTCCCGACAGTGTTTTAAAGGCATAATCCAACCAAAAATGTGTATGTTAAATTAAGTGTTCCAAACTTGTTTGACATAAGATTTGGAATGACATGACTGCAGAATTTTCAGACATTTTTTCAAAACATGCTTTGAAGAATGCTGGTAACCAAACGTTTTCTGTTCCCATTGACCTGTGTTAAATAGACAAAATGTGCAATGGAAGTAAACTGTGGTTACCAACATTCTTTACAATATCATCTTTTGTGTTCTGTGGAACAAAGAAAATCAGGTTTGGAGTGTCATGAGGGTGAGTGAATTTTAATTTTTGGATGGAATAGGCTATGCCTTTAACTCCTCTTAAACTGTATAAGCACCGGCTGAAACTGGTGTTTTAAATGCTAATGCAGGCAGTACCATAAGACATGACATCATTCTTATCAAATATAGCGGTTCAAAGTGTATTAGACCCATAAAAAGTGTCTGGGTAAGATTATCAGTTCATGAATTTTTGATCTTATTAGGAAAGTATATCTGATCCTTTAAGATACTGAGTTTTAATGTTCAGTTCTCAAGCATTGTGAGTGTTTGAAACTTCAATATAACCTGAATTCCTTCAGTCACAAAAGATAAAGTGTTTAGAGGAAATACATTTTCTTAATTTTAGCAATTCCCCAACTAATCTTACATGCATTTTATACTCCCATCTTAATTCTGTGTGATTGATTATGGATCATTTTTGAAAGTAGAAACCCATTTACCATTCCAAACCAAAGTGTTTCTCCTATTGTGTTCCACTGAACTGTGAACAATACAACTTTATAACCGTTCAAGCCGCAATTGTGGAAACACCCAGCCTTTGAAGTAATGCAGGTGGGTGGACAGACACAAAGAATAGGAAAAAGCAAAGCAAACGTAAGAATCACAGTAATACCAATCAAAATGTCTGCTTTGGCTACAGAGGGGCATTATGGTATATCAGACCAATGCAGTCCAACCATCTGTCCATTCAAGTGAAATAGGTCAGCGTGAGGCACGCAAACTGTGCCAGGCAGTCAAAGGAGCAAATCTGCATGATACATAAACCAGCAACTAAATGAGGGATTTCCAGCTGACTTAAAATGTAATTTTAAAGCTTCAACCAAAATGCAGCATGAATAAAACATTAAAAGCAAGCCATTTATGTTGTTTCACCCAGAAAGCATCTTCACAGAATCCACATGCATGTATACTAGAGAATGTAAAGATTATGATGCAGAGGAAAACGTTAACAGTAAGTTAAGCTCTATCTTATTGTGTCACTATTCCTCTGAAATCTATTAACAGTGCAACCATGACAGACTGGCATAAGGATAAAAACATCATAAATCATAAAGGGACTCATAAAAGCATAAATCAGTTTCAAAATGTTTGGCTGGATCAGCCATGGTGCATTGAGTGACTACGTGATCAGGCAATCTAGACTTGGGCCGGGCACATCTGCCCTTTACGTGCTCCCGTACATTTTGGCACCCGCAAGAGAACTTTCTAAACAAATGCAATGCTGGCATAAACGCGTGAGACGTGGCAGAATGTTTCGTGCACTCTGACTATCAGATTCATCAGTCTTCATGGTCAAACTACTTTTAAAAGACAGTGATTCAAAAAATGAATTATTGATCAAACTAATACCTATTTGTGGCAACATCTCCCTGTTGAATTTGTGTTTACTCAATAATACATACACATTAAGCATAAGAGAACAAATGCTAAAACAATCAAGAACCAAAAAGGACATAATAAAAATACATGAGACGTTTTTTTATCAGGGTTGGGGAAACTACCTTGAAACTAATCATAATGCAGAGTAGAAAAAGCTGTAAGCTACACTACAAACAAAAAGTAGCTAAAACACTTTAGTTACTTGAGGCAATTTTTATAATTAAAAAATATATAACTATGCAATTATATAATTTTATCAAATATGTGTTTTTAATAAGGGTTTTTAAAAGAATTAATTGTCTCATTTAGGGTGACTATAAATTGAACAGGTAAATACATACTAAATACAGCTAAATAAATGAGTTAATAAAACACCCTCATCTCATATACATTACTGAATCAAATACATAAAACAGTCAAGAAATAAAGTTGTTATATAAGTTGGCATCATTCATAAAATCTGCTCATTTACATGAACCATCCGAACGATCCGATTCACTAGAATGAATCAGGCTTTCCAACTCTACGAAAGAGACATTTAGAATGAAGCGATTCACCAGAATGAATCAAACTTCCCAGAGAGATCCGTTTAGGAAGAAACGATTAATTGGGATTGAACCAGACTTGGTGCTATACTGGATATGAAGAGAGAGAGAGAAGCATTTAGGATGAACCGATTCAGTGACTTGTAACTGGCACACATAAGAGAGAGAGCCATTTATAGTCAACCGATTCACTAGAATGAATCAAACAATTC